CAAAATATAAAATATAAAATATAAACTAGACTAGTAGAGCTTCCAGTCTCAGGTCTGGAGATCAGTGTCTACTGTACGACTTGGTAGGGTAGCTTATTTTATCACTTATTCTTCCTTTGGTTGTTTAACTCATTTCTGTGCCATCCCGTTCTGGAAAAAGCAGATAGGATCCCATAGTAATATGCAGGTTCCGTTCCACTGTGCACCTCTTCTTTCCTTTTCTACACTGTGCATGTGTGCATGTGCTGAGGGAGGGAGGAATGAATGGGGAGGCATATAGATGGCTTTACATATGTATGAAAATGTCATTAGTATGCATATATATATACACAGATTAAAGATTTTATTTTAATAACTTATTATTCTCAACAAATGAATTGTGAAGCTTAGAGCATGTGTCATCACTAACATTCATGTGAAGCAGAACAACACAGTGACAGCTCATTAAAACACCTGACATCCAGCTAGCCTTCTTACGAGAGAGATATCACTGTCTGAAATTGGTTAAGTTGTCAAGATCACAATATGCACAGCCAACAGCCTGGCCTTTTCCCACGTTCCTTCATTCCTGTTTAAATCCTTTTCTTTGACTTGGATACAGAAACGGCTAAAAGTTTGCTCTGTGCTGCTAACCCCAAGATCTGACTGGGAGCTGTAATGCTCTGGCTCTTCCTTAGCTGTAAACTGGGAATTGTTGAGCTGATTTTCTTTTGGATGTGCTTGCTTGCAAGGTAACAGGTTTAGAACCTAATTTGTCTGTGTGACAGATACCACAACCAAACATGCTGTAAAGTGGATTCTTGAAAGAGCTATCTTCCTGTAGTGAAATTTAGGTGTATTTTATGAAATTTTGATGTTCTGTTCTTATCCATGTTTTTTTCTTTGCAGACGTGAATAGGAAGTGCTGGTGTTTCACTACGAAAGGCATGCATGCAGTGGGGCAGTCAGAGATCGTCATTCTGTTGCAGTGTTTGCCTGATGAGAAATGTTTGCCTAAGGATATCTTTAACCATTTTGTGCAACTTTACCGGGATGCCTTAGCAGGTAGGAATACTCTCTGTTAAAAATGGTTTGAATAGATGATCGTACTGAGTCAGACACTCACATTTTTGTCATTTAGCAAATGGCTATTTCTGCATAAAAAGAATATAAAAAGAGAATAAGGAACAAAGCTGATAGAAGGTTGAGTTGTTATTGGATATAAGTATCCAGTGTTATATTCATCTCACCAAACAAAAGTAATAATGAGGTACTGGTAACCTGGGGAGCTGCTCCAAAGATCTTTCAGCCTTCCTTCTGGGTGCCAGCAGAACAAAGACGTTTGGGCTATAAAGGCCATGCAGAGACTGTTAAAGCAATGGAGCAGGAGGACTCTGCCTGTGACAGCTTTGTGTTCAGCAGCCGTTGCTGAATGTCTGCTCTGGCTGCTTCTGCTCCATGCTGGGGTAACAATTTAAATAGGGCTAACATCTGAAATTAGTATTGTTCCTCATTTAGCAGTAAGTGTAGCAGCATACTCAGCAGGGCTCATGGGTGCACTAATGACATTGCTTCTAATAATTTCTTTTTTCAGATTGAAGTCAGGGTAGCTTTTTTAAAGATACAGAAGGAAAATTTTGACAAACCTTGTGGACAGTATATTAAATATCCCCAAACCAGCTAGTTCTGAAATTTGATTCCCACAATGTGTGTGTCTATTGCCACATTATGGAAGTAATATTTATATGATAAAGTAATACAAATATATATGTATATGTGTGCCTGGAATGAATTGAAGGGCATTGCAGAAACGATCCCTGAATTTTGAATTTTAGTATCTCAATTGCAAGGTTGCATTATGTAAACCTTTACATGTTTTAGATTTGCTGAGTAAATGGGCTTCCACTTTTAGCTATTGTTGGACCTCAGAATTAAAAAATTATTGCATAAGGAAAAATGCAAGTACTTGGTTCCACTGATTAGAAAACAAAGCTACTTTTCCAGAGGTGAAATTGGATCACATTAAGGTTATGTACTGAAAACACATTTACGAAGGGTTCTGCATCATTTGGAATGCCTTTGCAGTGACCGAATCCAAGACTATAATAAAACAATGAAAAAGATCTTTGTTTCCTAAAATGTCTTGATACAACAAAGGTCAGCTTGTCCGGAGAGGTTGCCAGGTTAAGAATGTACTACTATCATGTCATAATGGATCTTGTGTACACTAGAAACAAGTATGTTTGCAAACATCACTTTATTTGCAATTCATTATCTTCTAATTACAATGGTATTCCAAGGGAGATAGATATAAAAAATTGTGTGCGTGTGTGTGTGTGGGTATATATATATCAAATATAAATCCAGCTTGGTGTGTATATTGCAATGAAGTTCTGTATAATTACAGTACAGAAATACATAATTTATAACTCCTACATAATGTATTTGGAATTCTTTTTTTAGTGTTCTGGTGGTAGTAATTTGATATCCTACAATTGCACTGGTTGGTGCAAAGAGCTGCTTACTGTTGTACAATTCTTAATCAGAAATCAAATTTCACTGTTTAAGAATTCCACTCTGTAACATTCTTTTGGTAGGATTTGCTCACTATTGTATTTCAGATATAGTAGAAGTGGATTGACACCTCAAGTTACTATATAATACCAAACTGCGCTGAAGTTTTTGTAGAACATAGCACCTTGATACTTTCCCATAGCATTTTGTAATGCACTCGCTCAGTATGCATCTTTTTTTCTTTAAGTCATGTGTGTTTGAGAGGCAGAATTATATATTAGCATATTTGCAGCTCTGGCTGTTTTAAACATTATTCAGCCAGAGAGGCAGGATATGATGCTGTAGGGGTTTCAGTTTGGTGATTGTAACCCCTTGGAAGTAGTTATCAGTTTGCATGCTGTTGTAGAGGGAGCCATGCTTCCAAAGTTGTTTATTTCAGAGGTACTGCACCTCCCCTGGCAATTAAATGATAGACATTTAGAGTAAATTAAAATTCCCATTAGAAGTTGGAAGACTATTTAAAATCCTGACTCACTGTTTAATTTTTTATTATATAATATATTGGTTAAATTTATTTTGCCATCAGGAAGCTGAAATAAATTCAGTGGGTGTTTTTTATTTATCTCCTTTAGTGAATGTTTTTTTAAAAACAGCCATAAACTAAAAAGACATATATAAGATTTTTTGATTGGAATAGAAACAAGAATGACGTTTAGTGATGTTGATTTTGTTTTGAAGTAATTTTTGGGTTTCTTGGTTTTGTTTTCAGCTGAAAAATACAGCATTCCCCTTTAGTTTATTTAATTAATGCCCGTATCTATAGCAATTTTATTTTTTCATGAGTCTCATTTATTTACTAGGTCTTCTTACTCAAGTTTGAATTCTGCATTCAAGCCTAGAAGTACAAACTTATGTACTCCTGCCTCTTCCTGGATGTTTCTGCTTTCCTTAGAGGATAACTTGTTTCTTGAGACTGAGTCTGGTTCTCACTGCTCGGTATTGCTCACAGCCATTTGCAGAGTGTGGTTCCAGCACGTGCAAGTACTGGCAGCAGAGCCCAGGCCGCAGACCCGCAGGGAGGAGCCGTTAGTCTGTACACTTAATGCTTTGTCCTTCAGACTCACCTTCTGTTCCAGCCATGGACAAGATGTCAGTCTGGTGCAGCACCGCCCTAAGCCTTCATTGGCTTTGTTATGGGAAGTCTTCAGCCTCAAGCTGTGGTCGGGTGTTAGGATTTTATAATTGTAAAACAACGGAGAGATTTTGAAGGAAAAATGGCATTTTTCACTATAGTTTGTATGCACGTGAGTTACAGTAAATTGTGACATTGTTAATTAAGGCAAGTATTAATTGCTGTTCGATTTCCATCGCTTTATTTTTCCTCTGGCCCCTCTGTCATTGAGCTCCCTGCTGTGTTGCTTTTCATGTTTTGAAATTGAAGGCTAATGATTTCTGTTGTGGTTGTAGTAGTTGTAGTGTTGTAGTGGTAATCCCATGATTATCCTTGTCTGTTGGCTATAAGCCTGGCAGGAGGTCTAGTGAATGGAAAAATGAGAACTTCTGTCTGTCTGAATGGGTACTGTGAAGCAGTTGGATGTGTTAATGCAGAGCTGCCAGATATGCCCTAGTGCATCAGCTCTTTGGTGGAATACAATAAATGCTACTGTTACTTTTGTAGTGAAAATGCAAACCTGGCAACTGCTTGAAATGGTTTTGTGATCACTCTGGATTTGGGGATGTTCCAGGTGAGGGTGGATCTGTCCCAGTCACAGTTTTGTGTATTTTTTACCTATTACCATTAAATAAGGTGGTAGCTAATACAGAGTAGATCCATAAAGAAGCCCATGTCGATGTTCTGAACAGAGAACAGGTTAACTGAGCGACTAATACACCTCTGCAACTCTAATGTGGAAAGATGGATACAAAATCAAACATATAAGGTGTGAGAGTGATTGTTTGGAAGACTGCCACAGTCTGAGAAAGTTTTGGATGCTGGTGATTGCTACTCACACTGTTAGTAAGTGAAGCATTATCTCCCTTGCCAATATGAATAAGTTCTTTCCAAATTACTTCCTGATGTGTTTCGATATAAAGATGCTGAGTATGGTCAGAACTTCGAATGTTGAGTTTCATATGTTTTTCCTCAATATTGGTATCTGCTACGGATGTGTCGTGCCATCAAGTTACATTCATGGTTTTGTCTCTTCTGTGTCTCTTTGTGGCTCTTGGTGTGGTAGCGAGAGGGTTTGTGTTGCTTTTCCAAAGAGTAGGTCATTTGCTGTTGAAGAAAATCCATCTGTCAGGATTGTTCGCAGGTGAATATTGCTTTGCATCTCTTGCTACAGAACTGGGATGCTTGGGTTTTCAGGATGCTGGCATCGTGTTTGATACTTGGCAGTTCTTGGTTGTTGCTGATGACAGTGGAATGAGGACAGACAGATGCAGCTAACGTGCCCAAGCCATGTATGCGTGTCTTCCCGGAGACTAGATGCTAATACCAGCTTTTGACCTGGGATGAACCAAAAGATATCAAGCGTAAATGTACGTAAATTCCTAATGAGGAATTTAACCTCACTGTTTTTGGTAGAAGCACCTAACTGGCTTTACCACATATTGAGGGCAAGAAACAAATGCAAGAATCTTTTTTTCTTTACCTTTCGTGGTACAAACTATTTTATTTGAGTCCAGAGTTAATCATAGGAAGATACCTAACTGAAGAATCCAAAAGAGCATGGATCATGACTGAAGAGAAAGTCACATCAGTGGATAAAAGCATGTTTTTTAAAGGACTTTACAGAGCTGCTTAGGACTTAAAGTCAAGGGTAACCCAGCATAATTGAGAAGAGAATAAGTACTGACATCCTGCAGAGCTGCTTTAGATGCATCGTGCACACTTAAGACACTTCCTAAATAATGTCAGTTCATAGAATTATTCATAGAATTATTCATATAATCGTTAAGGTTGGAAAAGACCTCAAGGATCATCAAGTCCAACCCAACACCACCTAACTCACTAAACCATGTCCCTAAGCACCACATCTACACGTTTCTTGAACACTTACAGGGATGGTGACTCAACCACCTCCCTGGGCAGCCTGTTCCAATGCCTGATCACTCTTTCAGTGAAGAAATTTTTCCTAATATCCAGCCTAAACCTTCCCTGGTGTAACTTGAGGCCATTTCCTCTTGTCCTATCACTTGTTACTTTAGAGAAGAGGCCAGCACCCACCTCACTACACCCTCCTTTCAGGTAGTTGTAGAGAGTGATAAGGTCTCCTCTCAGCCTCCTCTTCTCTAAACTAAACAACCCCAGCTCCCGGTTGTCTGATGTCAGGTGCTGGAACTTAATATAAGGAAAGGCATCTTTCTGTTCACTCTGAAATCACCTCTCTAGAAAGGAAGTTGTGATAGTTTGTAAATTAAATTACATGCTTTTGAGAAGGATAGCTTTTTTTGAAGGTTTTCCTGACAGCTACACTTTCTCTACAAGCTTCTGAAACACAGTGCTATGCCTGAAATGTGTAACAGTGCAGTGGGTTGGGTTTGATGATGTCAGGCTGGTAATAGCAACTTGTCAGTGGGGCCTTGACTTGCAACCACCTTCAAAGACGTGGCAGGAACGGCTGACAACCCCTGGTCAGTGCAGAAATGTTTGTGGGACAAGCCTGAAGCCCAAAGAGGCTTTTGGACTTGGGTTTGCAGGTTGAAAAGGGCACTAGAGAGGTGGGTAGGAAAATGCTTGATTCTTCCCATGCTCTCCACATAGCAGGCTCTTGCATGTTGTTATAAAGAATGAATTGTGGCACAACTACCTAATACCAATAGTTTGTCCTCTTAGTAGTGGTAACCTATTGGAGCTTGCACTGCCCAAGCTGCTTGTGTCAAAAGGAGTAATTTATAATGCTGTGGTGTATGGTAGTAAAGTGCTGAACAGCTGAGTTGCAGTTTCTGCTCTGAGGGGTTTTTTCATGTTTCTTTCTGTTGGCTGAAAAAATTCTTGTTAAGGCATCCCAAGTGTGTGATCCTTGAAGCTCCATCTCCTGAAACAGAAAAAAAAAAAAAAAATAGTCATCCTCTTCTGCTGCAGCACTTGGCATCAGTCACAAGTGGAAATGTCTGATTGCTTTGTCATCCCAGTGGGCAGTACCGCGCGTCTCAGAACTCTACGGTATTGTACAGCTTCACTGTGCCTGGCCTCTGTCACACAGCAAATACTTCAGGAAAGGGGGCAGAATTCAGTTCCTTTTAACAGTTTATACACTTCATACATTTTTAAGGTTAGAAAGGATTATTATGGTCATGTTGAGAACCTCACTGAGTAATTTTACTCTCAGGCCTCTGGCTCCTATTTGGGTAAGAACAGATGGGAAGGGAAGAAGGAAATATAAATGAAGAAAAGGAGAGTAGTGAGGGTAGGTGGGAACTGCAAAAGCAAACGGAGTGGAGTTGACATAGAAAGGTGCCAGCAGTTATTTTAGATAAGAGAAAATCTTTTTCATGAACACCAATTGATAACATTCATTTGCACTCACTAGCAAGATGCCCAAGCTGGTGCATTAGCAGGGTGTTCACTGAGCAGGCAATAGTGTCACAGCACAGGCTGACAGAGAAATGCATTTGCACGTGGGCAGGATCGATGATCTCCAGCATCTGACAACATTTGATGTGGCTCTGTTAATCATGTTAGTCCTTCAGTTTGACCAGTAGCTACTTTTCATCAAGTATGCTCAGCTGAGCATTACAGAAATTGTAGCCACTATAAGAGCTCTGGAATTTGTTCTGGGTTGGTGGTGTCAGCTCTGTCTTGTGTGTATCTGTACAAATCACAAATCAGCTTCACAGATAGCAGCAAGCTACAAACAAGCTGCACCCTGCCATGGGGTGCCTGGGCTGCCGAAGCCTGTTGCCTTTTAGGCACCTTGTGAGCTTAGTTTGCGCAGTACCTTGTGGGTACAGCAAACAAAAAACAAACAAACAAACAAAATCCACTGAGGTGCCCATAAATTTGAATAGCAAGGAAACCCCTGAACTTACTTGTTAGTTGGAGTATAAATGAAGCCTTTTGTTTACAGACCTGCCAGTGGCTATAGTTAAAGCTGGAGGTCCCAAGGTCACGTGAAGGAAGCAATACTTGGTGGTGATCATGCCAAGGTGATCTGGAGGGATGCAAAGTAGCATGGCCACATCTCTAGAGGGAGGGCAGGAATAGCTGCATTACTCTCATGTGGTGCTGGCTTCATGGAGAGTTGCTGTGACTTGGGACTTTAATTGGAGTTCACCCTAAAGGACAGACTTGAAAGGACTCATTGGTTAACCTTTCCTTTGCTGGACAAAACTGTACCTTGCATTTGTAAATGCTTGTGTACGGTTTTTAGGCTGTTTTGCAGTAGAAAAATAGAGAAGGCTTAACTTGAAAATCATACTTGTATTACTGAGGATGTCAACGTTGCACTTCTGTGACTCATGTTTTTACTTAAAACCTAGTGTTTGTGTGTCTGCGTGTGTCCCCTGTGTGTAAAAGGGAGAAATCCTTGAGTTCAAATAGAAACACTCCATTATGAGGTGCTGGAGAAAGAGCAGAAACTCCACTCTCTGCCTGCAGGTAGGAAAGCCTGGGATTGCTCCAGGAGCCCAGGAGGCCTCCATGAGTGCCTCAAATACATGCGATTCCTCATGAGTGCTGTGATTAACCACACTGCGCTCTCTGAAATTACTTGTGTTTTTCTTTGAGAGCAAATCAGAGCCATTAATATTCACATCTTCCTATGGAGAATTGTGATCAGCTGCTCTGTACATTATTTGCATGCTGTTGTTGTAATTTGATAAAAGGAATCACACCATGGTTCTTTGCTTCAGTGTTAAATGCTGCGTTGGATGCTGTAACAATCTAATCAACATTCAGATTCATTCAGCCATTCCAGTGTAAACAGTTTTGGAAATTAATAGCATCAAAGAATAAAAATGTGAGTAAAAATTAGTGAGGTTTCTCCCCTGTGTCTCTCTCAGTTTCATGTTACATTAAGTATACTAATTAAATAAACAGTCTTTTGTGTAATTCTTAAAAAGACCCAGATCTTCAATATGTGTCTGAGCAGGCACCCCAGGGGTTTGCCCAAGTGAAAGGACAGCCAGTGGGCGTTAATTGTTTGATCAGGTGCACATCTTCTTTAATTGCAGCTGGGTCTAAAAGTTTAGTTCAGTCAGCAGCAGCTTCTGCAGTGGAAACCCCTTGAATATCTGGAAGACACTGAAAACAGGCTTTCTTGGGTGCTTTTGTAGTGCTAAGAGGGAGTTTGCAGGTACCGTTTCTACTACTTGAAGCAGGCAGATCACAGAAATGGCCAAGGCTTGTCTCCCTCCCTGATCCCCCAGGAGAGAGGGTAGGTCTGTGGTTGTACGTACTGTCCTGGCAACGCTTGCAGGCATGGCTTAGTTAGCTACAAAAATGAAGGTATGTGTGCATGTTCCTACAAAACTGACTTCCTACCAGTAATAGTTAAAGAGTACGCGTATCACCAAAGGTGGATCAACTGGAGATCCCATGGCTTTGGAGGCTCTAGTCTCCAGCAGTTATTCCAGAACAGATTATACACTTCTGCACAGGAGCTAACCTGAGCCCCTGTATGCAGCAAATCATTGTTTCTTGTGTGATTAATAGACATTAGTGCTTCAGGAAGCAAAGTGAGTTTAATATGGATTTTTTTTTTCCCTTCTGAAAAACTCTTTAAATTCTTGATACAGCTCTCAATCTAGTGAATTAATGAGCATTTTTGTTCATAGGTAATGTCGTTGGCAACCTGGGACACTCCTTTTTCAGCCAGAGCTTCCTTGGAAGCAAAGAACATGGAGGGTTCTTGTACGTTGCAGCTACGTATCAGTCCCTGCAAGACCTGGTGCTCCCAACCCCACCGTACTTGTTTGGCATCCTCATTCAGAAATGGGAGACTCCCTGGGCTAAAGTGTTCCCCATTCGGCTGATGTTGAGACTTGGAGCTGAGTACAGACGTAAGTAACGTGCATTCTTTTAGCTGCAATTATTTCTGCAAGAGAATATATTCTGGTTTAGAGCACACGCACCCAGCCCTAAATTGTTACCTGTCAAAGCCACAGAAGCTTAAACAGACAAGTAAAAATTATAGTTTATACCTACATTGCATCCAACTAAGAGCACGGCAGTACTGAGGTTGTGGCATGACCCTACAGCTTTTTTACAGCTGTGCTAGCTGATCAGGGAGATGTTTGTGGAGACAACCTAGTTCTGAGCAGCTGTCTGTAGTTCACTTAGTGACCTGAAATAAGAGTTACGGGCAGAACAAGTCTGATGTAGCTGGTGTAGTTAGGACAAGGGAGAGCCTTTGAGATGTTAAGTTCCTTCCATGCTTCCATTGCCAGAATGCAAATAGTCATTCTGCAGATTTTCCAGAGAATAACAAGATGTGTGCAGGAGCAACTGATGTGGCAGTTTGTTGCAAAAAATCTGTTGCAACTAGTAACAAATAAGCTGGAGATAGTGTTTCAGCTGAACCAAATCTTAGCAGTTAGCATGAAATTAGCATAAAGTTAGGATAAAAATCTTTTGAAAAAGACATTTGCTATCACTGGAGCAATTGGAAGTCTGTCCACCGTGATGGGCCAAAAATTTGTTGTCTTGCTCATCTGCTGTTTTAATTGGCACATCTTGTAAATCTGAATTACTGTGAAAATGGTCTGTTGTTATTTTTTAAAAAAACTTTTACAAAACTTTTTAATAAAATAGGGATTTGTAAATTTAACTTGTGATGTTTAGGGAACTTTGGGAATTTTTCATAAAATAACATGTTACTGGACAGAAAAAAGAAAATCTTAAAAATTTGCTTTCTGAGGATGAAGACTGTAGGTTAAACTTGTACAAAGAAATATTAGTGTTAAAGGTGTGTAAGTTTTTGTTTGTATCTGTGAGGTTTTTAAATAGGGTATTTATTCCCATCAACATTTAGAAAAATAAACAAAGATGCTCATATTTTGGATGTGACATCTGTTTTTAAGCACAGAAACAAATGTTTTGATATTCACAGACAGGAGTACCTGCTCTGAATATGCTGGGAAGCTGGGGTTTGTGTTGCTTCTATAGCTGTGGTTTGGATTTGGGCATATTCACTTGTGCTGTGACAGTTGTGACTGCAGATCACTTCCTCAGTCCCCTCTTGGAAGGGGCTGCATTTGTGTCCCAGTTTTCCTTGGAAACATCCTCTTTTCTGGTGGAATTGTCAGATTTTGGCCATTTGTCCAGTGCTGCTGAACGTGCATCAGATCAGATGCCGGAGTCACTCCGGGTTGCTAGATGTCCAGAAAACATCTGCTGCACATCTGCAGATCAACTGTACAGCCCAACCACAGGGAGTTCAGTGCATCTGGGATGTAGCTGAGCTGCTGTGTGCAGCCAGGGTGGCAGACACGGGAAATTCAGCACCTCTTGGTGCCTCAGGACACTGTGCGTGAGTTTGTTAGGTGTACGGTGTGTGTGCAGGAGCTGTGATGCTTTCCAGATCAGTGTGCAGAAGCTGGAGCTTATTTCTGTCAGGAAATCCTGATGATGTTTCTCAAACCTGACGAGCATTTTGCAGCCCCTTCTGACTACACCGGAAACTGTGAAGATGTGTGGTGTTTTGGGAAGTCAGGCTGCGTGTTTGCCTGAGGATAGTTGAAGAACCTTCCTTCAAACATGCATTTAGAAAACCTTGGCATTACATATTACTGCATGAGTCATGTTTCGAGCGCTGTTATGGCTTCTGCTGCAACATAATGTAGCCAGATCCATACAGTACACTTGGAATTACATCATAGCTGTTTTACAAGTATGGTTAAGTCAGCCAAGGAATGCAGTTATTTTGCATTACTGACATACCGTAAATGTCCTTTTAATTGTTTTTGACATACTCCTGTAGAGAATTTGCATGTTCTTATGAAATCTTGGAAACAGAAATAATCTGTACTCTCGTGTGAATGTCACACGTCAGCCACAGAAGCTAAAGGCTTATGGTGCCATAGCGGAGAGCAGTGGGATGGTCATACAAAAGGGAGAAGCCATTTCCAAGAAGTAGCCTAAGAAAAGCATTACAATGGCCATCTTTGCAATCAGTGTCCAGATCGCTAGGTTCAGTCTTGCAATGTGGCTTTTGTAAGCATTCCACATAATTCTTCTGATGGTTTCTACCATGGTGGGCAAGGAGCCATGACGTATGTAAGGTGCATTATAATGTTAAACCTGTCTTCTCTTTTGCTTTTTAAACTCTGGTCTTCTTTCCAGTCTCTTCTTTTGCTGCTCCTTACCATATTCAACTGAGGAGACTGTATTTGAGTCTAGTTTTGTAGAATATCAGTATGCAAATTTAATCTGATCTTTCTGTTTTATTTTATCCTAGTTTATCCATGCCCACTTTTTAGCGTCAGATTTCGTAAGCCTTTGTTTGGAGAGACTGGACACACGATTATGAACCTTCTTGCAGTAAGTGCTGAGATGGAGTTTGCACATTCCATTGGTGTAAATGGATCCGTGTGGGCAGAACTGTGCTCCCATTGCACATAGTAGTTGGCAGGCTTAGAAGATGGCAAGAGGAAATAGTGGGCATTTGGGTGAATTTACCTGCTGTTACTGATATTGGATGATAGCTTTCGACAACATAGAGAATTGTAAAAAGGTTCCCAGATCAACATCCGAAACCTGGCCATCTGAGAGTATCTGGATCTGGGAACAAGTGCAGTAGTTGCTCTGATTCCTTCCTCAGAAGTGCTGGGTCATCACAGTGTGCACTCACAGCTCTGATTGTACAGAGCTTCAACTGGAGTGAAGTTATTAGCTCTTCCTACTTCACTAATATTTCCAATATAGAAAATTCTCTTTGATGTGTGACCTAGTCTCACTGCTAGAAAAACTAATAACTCTATCCAGTAATGCAACAGAACACAGCAAGTTTTCTTACATACAGTGATGACATTGAAGGTTGGAGAGTATTAATTTTGATGTAAGAAAATTCATGAAATGATTAACAGTCATGATGATGTTTTTTAATTTGTGTACTTCGACTATGTAGGTTACAAGTTGTGATGTCTCCATCCCTCCCTGCCTTTCAGTCGCTGATTGCAATTATTTTAATTGGCTAACTAGTAGTCACTAGGATAGTTATGCCTACAGTGTTAATGATGATCATCATGCCTAACTCTCAAAAACTGGTTTTAATTACCAGGACTTCAGAAATTACCAGTACACGCTTCCAGTGGTCCAAGGTTTAGTGGTTGATATGGAAGTCAGAAAAACCAGCATCAAAATTCCCAGCAACAGATACAATGAGGTAATGCTTATAAGAAATACATTTGTTTACAGTTTCGTTGTGGCTGAGGGACCTGGGATCTAAAGGAATTTTCTTTTACTCACTACCACTAGGGAAAACTGCCTTAAAAACAAATAATAACTGCGGGGTGCACGCATGTTTTGAGAGTGAGGGTGGCTCCACAGGAAGAATGCAATTCAATTTAGTATTAATTAAACTTGTAAACTTTTTCTTCAAGTTTTTCAACTGTTTACATAAAGTGTAATTGTAAATAACAGAAAATACTGGTTTGATTTGAGCAAATAAGTTGACAAACTTTACAGTTGAGGTAAACTAGGAGGGAAAAGTGTATTAGCTTTTCTCATCTATGTTGTGTGTGCATACTTGCAGCATTTATTGGTATTTATTGGATTGTGGTTTATTTTATGTAAAATATCTCTCAGCATCTCAATTTTATACTTGATTGCTGGTGTGAGAAAATCAGTGTCGTTAGGATATAGTGCTGTTGAAAAAGCTTAGTGCAAGATATTTGAACAATAATGAAAGAGAGCAGTGGAGAAGGTGATTGATTTTGTGGTCTGTCTGACGAGAAGGGGGGGTAACTTTCTATTTTGAAACCAGTCAGCATTCGGGAGAAAGCAAAGCTCCTGGGGAAAATGGTATTTGTAAAAGTTCTTGTAATATCAGAGCAGAATATAGCTTTATCTCATCAGAGAACATCCCTGCAGGAAGCATTTCAGTAAAATAACGGTGAGAGTAAAGAAATAAATTTAAGAAAGGGAAAAGTATTCTTTGTGAAGCTTGAAAAAGAGGAAACTGGTGAAACAAGAAGATAGAGGGTCTGTCAAAAGGTGTATTAATTCTTGATGCAGTTGTGAGAAAATGGAAGAGGTCAGTAAATGCATGAATTAAATACATCTTGGCACACAAAATGCAGTTTTCTAAGTGTTAGCTGTGCTCGACGTTTGCAAGTGTGTTCAATTCAGTTCTGTGTTAGACATTGCACTAAGCTGGACCGTGAGGAAATTCCTGTGTTACACAAATTAGCAAAATCTCTGCATCAGGCTTGGGTTCTTTTTCCAGTGTGAAAGAAGGATTTGGGTTTTTAAATGGAGAAAGTGTTCTTTATTTAACATTATTGCTTGCAGTCCAGATGAAAGATTGAATTGCTAGAGATTTTTCATCTGAGTATAGTTTGAATGAAGATGAATTAAACTACTAGACCTTTACTTTTTTCTCATATAAAACAGCATTTAATTAGAAAAGAGTGTCACTCAAACTATCTAGAAATTGGAAAACTTCTTTTAAATCTCCTAGAATCATAGAATGGTTTGGGTTGGAAGGGACCTTAAAGATCGTCTAGTTCCACCCCCCTGCTGTGGGCAGGGACACCTCCCACTAGAAGGATGGATTAAATGTGGAGAATTCAGACTAATTAACAAGTAATGATCCAACCTTAATGATTCTATGATTCTATGATTCTGATTCTAAGATAATGATATATAGTTTTATTTTTAAATACATAATTTTTATCTTCAAAATTATTTAAATTTTCTACAACTTCTAGTGCTAGTTAGTTGCCTGTTAGTCCCTCGGCAAAGGTGACTGTCCTTTTTAATCAGTTGCCTTGTTACAAAGTACAGTTGCCTTGTCCAGTTGTTTCTTGTTATGCTAAAGGCAACTCACATCTTGTTTCTGGAGCATGACATGATAAACTAGGCAATGAAATACACCGTTGTCTGATGCAAAATCTTAATTAAGTTTCCTCCCCAAACATTACACCTGCACACATTTGTCAATAGTGAGCATCAGTTAATGTTCCTGACACTATAATTAAGGTTTTGTGTCAGACTGAGAGAGACAAATGTGTTGTGTGTACCCTGCGTGACGATCAGCTACAGGGAGCAGAGGATGGGAGTATGAGTGCTGTTAAGAGATGTCAATTCAGCGTTTTTCCTTCTCTTTAGGTTTTCACTGGGAAGGGGCTGTAATTTAAATTTAAATTACTAAAAATTGTTTCTGGTTGTCTTATGATTCAGATCTTTTTTAGAAGTCTTTAAAATGGGATTATTGATCCCAGTTTCCCCAGTTCATGTGGGTGAAGCACAGAGACACTAAAGCTTCGGTGTCTGGTCACGGCAGAACCAAGATCAAATGCCACGAGTCTCAGTGCCAGCCTAGCATGGAAGTGTGGAGGCAGCATTTATGATATATGTCATAAGCAACTGTCATTCTGTAAACAAGACAGATATTTCCTCCTGGTGTTTTTCTTATGTTTTTTTCCTGTGAATTTATTTTTTAAAGCAGGTAGTGAAAATAGCTTTTGCAGCCTGTATAGCTCGGCTATCCCTTCTACCATTTAATTACATGAAAGGTGGTGCTTTGAGCATCTAGATGAGACAAGACCTGAACCCTCTTTTCCAAAGCAATTTATGGTTCTGAGTACTAAAATCCAACATGAGAATATGAGCACTATTGAGAGGCTTGCTCTGTCCAATTAAACTGTTCCAAAAATCACCTCTTTATGGTAGCGCTCGATGACCAGGGTAGAGATGAAAAACCTTTTTGTTTGCAGATGATGAAAGCCATGAACAAATCCAACGAGCATGTTCTAGCAGGGGGAGCGTGCTTCAACGAGAAGGCAGACTCACATCTGGTGTGTGTTCAGAACGATGACGGGAATTACCAGACGCAGGCCATCAGCATCCACAATCAGCCGAGGAAGGGTGAGAACAGGGGTTCATGAGGAGGCCGTTCCTTCCCGGTGCTCTGCATGACTACTGTGCTGGTTGTGCTGCCATTCCAGAGTGTGGCTTTGTGAATCGATCAGAACCGGGTTTGTCTGCGTGTCACTGAGTTTCTGGTAGACATTCAGAGAAAACGCTGACTGCTGGTGTTACTGAATGGGCAGCTTTGTGAGTTAGACATGCAACACAAGGAATAGTAACGGGTTGCTCCATCTGCCCTTTACCCCCTTGGTGTTTTAGTTCCCCTGCAGAATCCATGATCCTCAGGTGTCAGGGGGCACACTGTGCGGTTTGCATCCTGCGCACAGTCCCTATCACGCTTCTCTAGGTCAATGGTGCTGTGCTGAATTTGAGAGGTGTTCTAGCAACTGCGTAGATGAAGCGGATGTACAGCAAGTAACAGCTTGCTCCCTTGTCAACACATAACAGCGCTTGCACAGTGCAGCTCAGGCCTCGCAGTGCTCCGGAGGCCACAGTGCTGTAACTGCCTTAGGCAACACCTCTACGTTAATAAGAATAATAACCAACAATTTTCATAGTGCATCTTCCAGAAACTCCTAGTGTTCATCTCCATTAGGCCATCTAACTTCCAGGCTTTATTTTTGCTAGGGTAGGCTGAAAGGCTGCAGCAGCAGTGTGCTGAGAATTTAAATGCTGTGGGTTGGGGGGAAATTTCTGGCAAAGACATCTGTATGTTTTGCAGGTATCCCGTCACTCCAGTGAGCATACTGACAAGGGATGGCACTCAGGACTGATGGTCCTATCTGGCTTCTGTTCATTTTACATATAAGCCAAGAAGAGGGATTTCCAGAGTGATGCTTAGTGGTCCTTTAGGAGAATTTTACTTTAAATCAGGTGGCTTCGAGCTGTGGCCTTGCCAGTGAGGTGCTGTTAACAGTGTGCTCCATAACCAGCTCACTCACAGTCTTTGCCAGCTGTTTAGGAACATTTAGAAGTTAATTATCTACTTGGTTACCCTAAATTAGGAGTCCTGAAAGTTAGAGGTATGTATGGGGAGAGGGAGAGTGATGAAATATGAGCATTTATTAAGGTTGACAAAAACTGTTGCCCAGTTTAGAAAGTAACCGGGTGAGTTGCCCTTCCATATCTAAGCCTGTGATGTGCATTAAAATCACCATAATTCTAAGCAGCATTTGTTGTGATTTAGATTAATCACCTCTCTGGATGAGGGAGCTGTGATACCCTGTTCTCGTGTAAGGCATTGTGGTGACGAAAGCCTCACTAAATCACTCCTGTTGTTGTTGCAGTGACTGGTGCCAGCTTCTTTGTGTTCAGTGGAGCTTTAAAGTCCTCTTCAGGCTACCTTGCCAAATCCAGTATAGTAGAAGGTAAGAACTGAACTGCTTCCTTAAAACACACCGCTTCCCTCTTAACACCGCTCAGCTCTGTAGTTACCTGGGCTCTGCTCTTGTGCCTTCAGCATTTGAATCATGCTGCTGCTGCTTCAGCTTTATCCTACTTTTTAGCCAAAAAAACCCTGTTTCCTTTAATGAGGAGGAACTTACCCAGATGCTGTAGAACAGGGGCACAAGGAATTGAGGGTAAGAAATGAAATACCTGGCTTCTGAGCCTGGGATCAGTTTACTGATTTTGGGTTGAATGAGGAAATTGTGAGCCTAAGAAATATGGAATGTGTAACCCAGCGACCAGGAGAGGAAGCCCTTGTAAATTTACTCTGTTCCCAAATAGCTCTGCATTATGCAAGATTATTAATGTGCATTGTTTATGTTTGTACGTGGGCAGATGAGAACACGAAAAGTCAAGATTGCTGAGTCGTACCTCTCTGGTTTGCTCTTCTTTTACCAGTTGTCTTATAATAGAAATAAATGACTGTGTTGAAAGCCGCTATTGCTTGTTAGCTGAGCTGCAGAACACTGCAGATGTGTCAGGGCAGACAGGAGTGTTTTAAGTGTGCTCCTTACAGTTTGAGAGTGAGGTATGCAAGAAGCCCACATGTGCAGTCAGTCTGCAGAGCTCCACCGACGAGCAGGAACCCCTTAAGCTGTGCTAACTTGAGAGCTTGCAGCTGTACGAGCGTGCAGTCCATGGGTGAGCGGTCACCCAGGGCTGAAGAGCAGCATCTCGCTGTCAGTCGGTGTATGTAGGGCGTCACACCATTTGCTGTGTCTGAACTGGTGGTTCAGTGCAAGACAGAGGAACAGGTGGATTTGGGCAAGGAGTCAGTACATTGGGGAAGTGTATCATTCCTGAGTTACTGCTGCAGTAATTCACACTGCTCCAATCCATATACTGTATCTTTTGCCACTGTCAGGCAAGCATTGACTTCCCAAAAACTCTGTCACTGCTGGAGTGCTCCTTCAAGTGTCAACAGAGGTGACAGCTGAATGGGGGGGTCACATGGGGTTTCTGAGGGTTGCCTAGAGCAGGTGTCAAGTTTTGAAACAAACTAATGTGGTCATTGCTATAGCTGACGCTATCTGATAGACAACTTCACATTATCCTCGTGTTTTCCCTAGTCAGTGCTCGTCAGTGCTGTTTGAGGAACCTGAGAGTTCAGAAAGGGGTCTTATGTAGTGTTGCTGCCTATGATGCTTAACGTATCTTTAACCTTTGTGTTGCAAAAAGAGGAAGGCTGTTTCTTTCTTTCTTTTTTATAAAGGCGCTGTTCAGTGTGGCTTATCTTGGCTTACGAGGATTTCTTGGTTCCCTAGATGGAGTAATGGTCCAGATAACTGCTGAGAACATGGACTCCTTGAGGCAGGCCTTGAGAGAGATGAAAGACTTCACCATCACTTGTGGCAAAGTAGACGCTGAAGATCCTCAGGAACATGTTCATATTCAGTGGGTAGAAGATGATAAAAACTTTAGTAAGGGGTAAGTAGAGGAACAATTACTTGACATTGAATGGTGACTGTTCGACTGTATTTGTTAAAAATTTTAATTGATAAGGTGCGTGAGTCTTCCAATCAATAGGAATTACAAGTCTGTACCTCTGTTTTGAGTGATAAGATGTAATTACATGTAATGAAAATGGAATTGAGATACCAGAGCTTTGGGGCATCGATACAGAAAGTTGTCAATGCAATGGATTTTTTGCCATTGCTAATATCCAGTTATTAGAAACCACTAATCTGTCTCCAGCACTCGGTGCTGAACCCTGCATATTGTGGTCACTTTGCTCTCGTGGTGCTTACTTTGCATTAAGGAGCGCTGGAAATAAAATTGCTGAACATCAACAGTATATTTGGACTCTTGATAGCTGAGCCAAAAAAAAAAGAGGTGTATATGGCAGCTTAAGTATTCAGGGCAGTAAAGTGCTGTTGTGATGGGAACAATGTCTAAGGGATCAGCATCTAGAAAAAAGGGTATTTCTGTAGTTTCAGGCTCTCTGGGTCACCCTTAGGTTCTGTAATTCAATTCTGGGCTGTGTCAGTAGTGTTTCAGGTATTGCTGGCCTGCATGGAGGTTACAAAGTAATAAAAATCCAACCTCTATTAAACACCGCATCGCTGCGTTGGCACCTTATGAGCTCTCAGCGCTGGTGTGAAGCTGTGTTGAAACCCTGCAGGAAGGTCCTTCCTGTGCAAATTGAGCAGGGTGGGTGTCAGGGCTAGGAGCAGCAGGGGACAGCAGGGACCACGCTGGAGGGTGCAGCAGAGGAGCAGGCTTTGATCCTGATGTAGTTCTCGTTTGCAGTGGTCCCTGTTCAGCTCCTGCCTTCTGCTAAGTCAGAATTTACCCTTTTCCCTCCCGTTTACAGTGTGGTAAGCCCTATCGACGGCAAATCAATGGAGTCTATAACAAGTGTGAAGATATTTCATGGCTCAGAATACAAGGCCAACGGAAAGGTCATTCGCTGGACGGAGGTAGGCCAGTCACCCTGAGCTGCACGTAAACCCACACTTGGCAGTCTGAGATTGCAGCTACAGCCTGGTCTTCTTTCAACCTGCTCTCCCTACTCACCAGAATTAAAGCAGAAAATAGAATTAAAGCAGCAAATTCTTCAGAACAAACCCAATTACCTTTCCTCCCTGCAAGGAAAGATGCAGTACGGCATTGTGCAGCGTAAAATACACTATCCCTGATGTGGAGTGCAGGCTGCTGTCACAGCCGGCCTCTACAGCCTCCTCTGCACTGGCCACCTCTTCTCCCATAGGGTTGTTGAAGGTGGGGGAAACGAGGAAAACACCTGCTTATTGGGTTACCCAAGGCAACAGCTGGTTTCATCTGCATTTGTGTTAAAAATTACCTTCTTTTAAATGGAGACAAATCTTTAAATAACATTAAAAAAATTATTGAAACACCTTTTCTAAAATGTTGCAAGTTAAAATGAAAATGCTGTGGCACAAATGTGCTGTTGGCACAGCTGTTGTTACCTGGGCCTCTGCCAGCACACAAATGCTCATGTTAAAAGATTTCTTCCAGTGTTCCGCTTAACCTGCCCAGAAGGAACCAAGTGACTCACTCTGCAGCTTGCCACCTTAGCATCCTGTTCTCCCAGGCCAGTTGGGCTCAACAGAGACAAGTTCAGTGACAACAGTACAAAGCTTCAGGGTGGGATGGCTTACTAAAAATGGGAATTTTCTGAAATTGGTAGCTGTTTAAAAGCAGGTTTTTATTAAAAGCTATGTGCAATATATAGTGAATTTCCATAATGAGGCTTTTGACTAGAGGAGAAGTTTTTGAGAGCATGACTATTTAAATCTTTCTTTTGAAGTTGTGGGTTTTTTTCCACTCCCCCCCCCAGGTGGCTTGTCTTCAGGGTCTTTTGCTGCTCTTCCCTAACAGCTCCTCTTCAAGTCTTCATTTGTAAAAAGTTTAAATGGCATCTCAGTAACCTTATTTTGTAGCAAAGCCAAGTGTTACATCTTCACTTTTTCCTTCAGGTGTTTTTCCTGGAAAACGATGAGCAACATAATGGTCTGAGTGACCCAGCCGATCACAGCAGGCTGACTGAAAACGTGGCAAAGGCTTTCTGTTTGGCTCTCTGTCCTCATCTTAAATTGCTGAAAGAAGATGGAATGACTAAGCTGGGGCTGCGTGTTACACTTGACTCAGATCAAGTAAGTCTTAAATTGTTTCAGTTTAAGAGGGGGGAAGGGGTGTGTGTTCCCTTGTTTGTTCCCCAGAAAGGGAATACACCACTTCAACCATTCCCTTGGTTAAAGAAGCACCAGTCTCAGATGCTAATCGAGTGGTGCTGACTGTTGGTGGGTGTTTTGTGCCATCTGTTAAATCTGGAAAGCCCGTGCCTCGCCTGAATTAACACCAGGCTTGACCCTCATATGCCACCAGCAGCACCTGCTCTGCACTCAGAGAGCTGTGACCAGCCCTGCCACGTGCTCGGAGGGGACTCCAAATCGGCCTGTTCACCAGAAGTTACACACAGGAGTGTAGTGTGAGCACACGATGTTGTTCCCAGGCATGGCTGTTCAGGAAAGATCTGATTGCACATGAGGCAGAGGAACAGACGGGAGGTCTCCTGGAGGGTGCTCTGCAGCAAGAGCTACAAGCAGAGATAAGGCTGTGCTGGCAAGACAGCTGGCCATGCCTTGCGCTCCTGCTGATCGGAGTGATCTGCTTTGACAAAGCAGTAGAAAAAAAAAAAAGGCTACTTTTGTCTAGGCAGCCACTGGGAACATAGAGAAGAACAAAACCAAGTGGAAAAGCCGCTTTAGTGCTGCTACATCCTGTTCAAGTGCCCAGCCTCCCCGCGCAGAGACCACAGCACCTCACCCAGCCCAGCCTCCTGCACAGCACTTCCCTTTCTCCTGTTCTCTGTAAAACACTCTGACTTTGTATTTTCTAGGTTGGTTATCAAGCGGGGAGTAACGGACAGCCACTGCCCTCTCAATACATGAATGACCTGGACAGTGCCTTAGTTCCGGTGATTCATGGAGGGGCATGTCAGTTGAGTGAGGGGCCCGTCATCATGGAGCTCATCTTTTATATTCTGGAGAACATCTCATAAAGAGGACTTCATTTTCTGTTCAGACCTGTTCCAGCAGCAGTTGTATCTGAATCATTTGCACTTTAAAACTGGAAAATTAAGCTTTTGTTAACACTATTGGGGAGGGCGGGGGGGAGGAGGGAGGGACTGTTCCATAATTCTAAATCTTCTATGCATTGTCAACAACCAGAGGATCAGGGCAGCTTCTACACTACAACATGGCTATGCTATCCTTGCAGCTAATACACTTCTGTTACTGTTTAGAAAAATGCTCATGTTTAAAGACTTACAGTCGTGTACTCTCAATGCTCAAACGGGTGCAAAGATCACTGGGGCATAAATAAAACGTGAAACTCCAATCTTGTACTGTTTGTAGATGGACATGTAAAAAACAATCAAGACCTCCATTCGGACCTCATCGTAATGCCGTTTGTGGTTATTCTGTAGACATTAAAAAGTAACGTTTACATTATTTTGACCAGGTTATTGGTTGAAATACGCTTGGAGTAGCCCTCGAGAGATACAGAAAGATTCCCTAGCCATAACTACATTTGTATATGCGTCCAAACGAGCGGAAGGGCCGGCATCTCTCTGAAGGCGGTATTATGTAAATTGCAGTTGTATGTGTGTCATAAGCTGGTTTACTTTTTCCTCTATTTACTATAAAAACTCATCACCTCAGCAGATCTCCCAGAACAGCTCTGCCATTCTGTACTTTGTTTTCACATCTGTATGAAGCAGAGGAAATACTAGCCCTGAAGTGCAGTTATCTTCCATTCCTCTTCCCCCGTAGGTCCTGCTTTTTACAGACCAGTAATACCCAGGGCAGCCTGAAGTCTCCTCCTCGCTCTGTGCTGTAGTGTACCGCTAGCGTCATGTACTACAAGACAGCTCGCACTTCATAGTGGCAGCACCACATACAAGCTCACCTGTGAGCAAAGTACAGAGTGGTGTTTCTGCATGTTCTGCTGAAAAAGGCTTTTGGTCAGCTCTGAACACTTGCACTTGGCCTGGGACCCCTGGTCCCACCTGAGAGGGCATTAGGAGGGAAGGCAGCTGCTCGCATCTGCTGTGACATTGTGAAGCTGAAATTGAGACTTGGCCAGAGGAAAGGTGGTTCCACATTCTTATTGTCAGTAAGACAAGCTACTAACCAGGGGAGAGAGCTGAAAGCAGAAGGGGTTTGGATTGTTCAACCATAGCCATGCAAAGCAGCTGCTTGAGCCCCTCCCAGGAAAGGGGAGGGGGGGGTTGTGTGGGGTGAAAGTCCCCCCTCCTCTCTATATAGAAAATTAATTTGGGAAGAGAGGGGCTAATTTATGGTGAAGACAGTATCTCAGACCTTGCATCATCCCTACTTGCAGTCCTGGTGGATGCAGCAGGGATTATTTTGGTTTTTTGCAGACATCTTCTCAAACAGAAAGGGAAGAACAAGGCTACCGTGAGACCGAGACTATGTTTTTTAAACAAATACAGAGCATGAGCGGGGCAAAGGAAGTGGTAACTACACATAGCAATGTATTTTATGTAAAGACAGCACAGTGTATCTACAGAGTGCATTTGTGAATGGCTACTTTTTTTTTTAAAAAAAAAGCAAACTCTGACAAGTCCAACATTGCAAATGACATCTGTCACCCCCAACGCCTGGGGCAGGTGGACCCGAGCACTGGGGTCCAACTCCAGCAATAAAAGCTGGCCAGCAAGAGGTAGCCCACTGCACTCAAAAGGGTAAGTGTGTGTTAGAGCAGAGTGAAACCTTACCTCTGGCACTGGGACAAGGTGGCTGGCTTCATCTGGCTTACTCCGTGTTTCCCAAGGGACAAACCCTCAGCTATGACACCATCAATCGCCTTCCTGTGTATTTGTGCAGTGGAGCAGGACTAAGGTTCCTTTCCAACTTGCCTCTGCACACTGTTTTTGCACGCTTTGGGACACAGAGCAGCACTACATGGTGTAGACAAGATTCAGCATCGGGAAGAGCATCCCAAAAACCAAGTACAAATCTTCCTCCTAGAGACTGCACTGCAGCTTTGCCACAGCAGCGGCTTTCCAGTTACCTTAGTGCATTGTTATGCTCAATCATGCAGTAAAAGAGGTGGAAAAATCTTTATCTTCTCTTCCTTTGCCCCAAAAGTCTTAGGTTTGGATTATGTTTGTGCAAAACACTATCAACTGGTGACTGACATGTTTGCTTCAACCATAGCCTTTTAAATGACCTTAATTACCATGTTGTTAAGAAATGAGTACTTGTTTTAGAAAAAAATTGTACTTTTAAAATTCAGTTAGTTAACACTGCAAAAAACTGCATATTATATTTTTATTTTCAACATGTAGTTTTGTATATTAAATTTATTGAAATTAAAAACTAAGCACTGTATTGTCTTCATCTGCTCAGGAAGACAGAGGCAGCGCTGCCTTACTTGTCTGGATTCTTTTCTGTCTACAACCTTGCCCTCCCTAAACAGCTGGTGCCAGAGCGCTCCATCTCCCCCGTGCAGGCACATCCTCTCCTTTGAGATCACTCGTTTCTGTTAGCTCACAGACATTTAGAAACACAAACATATTTGGTACCATGGTTTGTATGCTGCTGATGAAAAGCATTCCTGAAAATAGTTATAATTCGCTTTTCTGCGTGATAAAGAGTGGCTATTTTCCCCATCACCTGGAAGAACTGTAAAAGCCTATTTTTGTAAAAATACAAGGAACATTTGGGAAGCAGCAGAGTCTAACGTACGCTTTTTTCCTCCTTTTTGAAATAAAAAAAAAAAAGGAAATGGATGAAGGCACAGTACCTGGGCTGCACTGAACAAGCAGAGCAGCAAGCATGGCGGACAACTGGGAGCCAGAACAAAAATGTAGATCTGTAAACACCTGCTGCTAAGAACTCTCGCATTCTTTCCTTCTGAAAAGCAGCATCCCATTTAACTTCATGTGGCAATGGCAAGCACAGAGCAGAGACACGCTGCTGCTAGATTGCTGCCCAAGTTCTCTATTTTAGGAAACAACAAAAAAAGCCCAAACAGGCCTTGATAAGAGAGAACAGAAGAAGCAGTAGCAGACTGTTCACTGTACCATGTTGGCTGCTTGAAAAAATTAGTTCTAGTGAAGGTCTTACCTGTGACTTGACTGAAAAGTTTTTGCGCTGCCTCAGGGAATTTTTAAGGGGCTAAACTCTTCCCACACCACTATGCATAGTTAGTGTAACATTCATCCTGGTGCTACATTAGTAGTCCCACGTTAAGGCAATTCTGTCTATTCTGTGTAGACTAGTAACAATCCCCTGCAGCAGCACATTTCCAGAGCCGAACGTTTGCCTTGAAGGTGTTAATAAGCACGATGGCTGTTATCAAAGAGACATTAGGGTCAGTAGTGCATTCGTTTAACATCTTTGGTGCTCGCAGCTAGCAGCATCTTCCCCCATTCGTTCATCCAACAGTCCAGTGGATCTGGGGGTGGGAAAAAACAACAAAAAAGTAACAAAATTACTTGCTGCAGTACTGAACAGACGTTCACAACTCAAGGTCACACTGTATGTAAAACGCTGATATGAATTTTCTGGATGGTCAACTAGAAAAATCAATGGAGCAAAATTATTAAGCTCCAGTGATTGGAAATGCCAAAGTGTCCAGTCACGGCACAAGGGCAGGCTGTTAATTCAGATACGGCCAAACGCAGCCCTCACAGCCAAACTGCCCTCCTGGGCCGTGAGGAAGTTATTTAGGTTGCTGTATCAACCGCTCTAAAGAAAAAGCAACACGTACAGTAACCCATGAAATAGGAATTCTGCCATGTGTCTCCCATTTGTGTTCCAAGAAATAAGAATATGGGATCAAGTAATTACAAGTTATTATAAAACACACATAGCAGTAGGCTGAATTAGAGAGTCCACAGGCAGCTGGACTTCAGGTAGTTACTTTTTTATCTTCCAATATTTTTGTTAGAAAATCACCTTAAAAAAACCATCAGAATTTTTGGTATTTATTTGCTTTTGTTTTTTTTAAGAAAGGAGAATTTGTGATACCTAAAAAGCATGAGAAAGGAAGACACGCTCCAAATCCAAGCAGTTTCCACAGAGGCTGGAAAGAAGAGGAAGCCTACCTCTTTTTTATCATTTTAATATACGGCCACTGGGCAGCACACAGCTCCTCTTCTGGACTTGATGTGAGCACAGTGGGCAGCAGGACATTTCTCCTTCCCAGAAAGGACTCATCAACCTTATTTTCTAAATATTTTTCCAAGTAAAGGTGAATCTACAAGCTCTCCCTCTATTTCAAGTGATTGTGAAGTAGCATCTTTGATACACAAACTAATCAGAGATTCTGTAACTTCATTTCTGAAATTATGTCAACTCACCACTACAAATATAAAGACGAATGATACCAAAGCCAGAGCTCTGTAATTAGGTCAATGTCAACAAAAGACATTACTCAAGCAGAGTTTATCTGCAGCCTTGTCAAGTTCTGGCCAGACCACCTTTAGACGCAGGGTTCATACCTCAGACAGAACTAATGTTCAAGGACCAGCCAATTCTCTGTAATTGTCTGAAGATCTTGACCGCTGAGGGGCTCCCTGAGTCTCACTTTTACCTCCAGTTTCCCTCCAGTGGGCTTCCTGCCATCAAAAATCTGAAAGAACCACAAGAAGAAGAGCAGTTAGCTCACGGATGAATGCTAATGTCAAACTACAGAGCCTCAGGCAACCACTGACCATGTTTCCCCCTGACTAAAGGATGACAGAGATCGCCTGCAGGTGTCATGGCCACATGCTTCAGCGGAGCAGGTCCCCCACACAACCCGTGCCAGGTATCTGTACCGATGGCTGCACCACCTCTGCCAACAGACAGACTCCACAGCAGCTCAGAGGACACCAAGGGCAGTGGTGGCCTGAACATGCCTGGGGTGCTGCCTGAGGGATTTTTTTTTTTTTTTTTTTTAAGGTTCCCCTTAATGTGCCGTGGGGATTTTTTTTTTTTTTTTTTTTTAAGGTTCCACTTAATGAGCTCCTACTGGATCTTAGGGCAGCTCTCCATCCACTCTGGCAGTCTCCACTTAACCCTTTGATCTGTCAGCTAGCAACACAAATATTGTGGGGAATCACCTGAATTTTTGGTCCTGACAAAGACAACTATCTTCATATAGAAAATTTGCACAAGACTCCAAGAAGTTCCCCGTCCCAGCACTGTCACAGTTAAGACAAGCTTCGAGATTACAGAACAAAGAACAGCCCATTCCTACTGAACTCATCCAACACAAAGCTGTCAGCTATATACAAACACATTTATGCCATGCGAATACTCATTTTCTCTTTGTGTTCACATATTACTTACTAGAAGAACA